GGGACCCGATAGATTGCGCCCTTCTCTTACAGCGCGAGGATTTCCTCACTTACCAGGGTCTTGTTGTGTGCGGAGAAGGCTATCTGATGTGGTCTGGATGTTTGGACAGGGTGTTGTATAAATTCGATTTGGTACCCTAGGACAGTATGTAGGACCCAAGCGTCTGTCGTCAGTGTGTACCAGGTCTCTATAAAGTGAGACAGTCTGCCGCCCACTATAGACATACACAGGGAAAGGGGTGGTAGTACACTTATCATAAGTCCGTCGCCCATACGAGGTGCCCCTGGTTCCTCGTGCTTGCCACGATCTGCCCCTGACCGGGAAGAAGGGCAAAGGGGGCTTTGTCTCCGGAGGTTGAAACCTAGGTGTGGCAGGGCCTCGATATCCTCGGTATGAACCTAAGGAAGAGCGGCCGGACAGATGGCCCAGGTGTCTGCCGACCCCGCCAAAAATTTTGTGAGAAAACACTCTCTTTAAATTTGTTTGTGCCTTGTCCAACGCCTTAAAGGTGCTGACGTAGTTGCCCAGCTCCTTTACGAACGTATCTCCAAAGAGAAATCCTTTTGCCTGTGGCCCAGGCTCAGATATGGCCATATTAACCCGTTTTGGTTTGATTTTTATAAATATGAATATGCTGGTGTACCCAACTTGTGAGCTGTGTTGGCCGCCGGGCGCCTCTGTTGTCATGGCACACTGGGTGGCCCTGCTGACACACACTCATGTTACTACTTAGATATCCCACAATATTAATACAGACATCAGAGTAAACACCAATAAACTGTGGAAACAGAGCTGATCCCCCCAAATTTATAAAGATTTGCTTAGTGGATTTGTTGTAAGATTAAATCATGCCTCCTCCTCTCTCTCTCCCATGCGCTGCTCTGTAGGCTGGGAGGAAGTGAAGAGTAATCACATTCTCCCAGCACAGCGCCACCTGTGGCTGCATGGGGAACAGCTGTTTAATGTAATGCTTGCAGGACGGCCAGCTGCCGCAGAACCTCTTTGTTCCCGTCTCTGCAAAGGGCTCCAGGCACTGCTTGTTGTGAGTGTGAGCCACTGTAAATTAGGGGCAGAGGGCACTTGCACTGTGGTAAAGATGGGTCTGGGTAGGAGGAGAGTGCAGTGCAATCAGTGCACTCCCCTCCTGTGGGTCACCAGTAGACTGGTGCACCTGCCCAGGATCAGAGCCGGTGCAAGGATTTTTTGCCACCCTAGACAAAACAAAAATTTGCCGCCCCCCCATGTGACATCACAATGCCCCACCCATATGATCTGCCATATGAACTAACGCCAGTGCTGCACACAGTGTGTGTTTACATTAAAAAGCCTGCAGGGACCGGCTATAGACACCAGAACCACTTCATTAAGCTATAGTTTCCCTTTAATGTGAGGTAAATTATAGATTTGTGTCACTAATAATATACTAGATTGCCTACTTACAACAAGATGAGGATGATGATGGGCTGCAGTTTGGCTCCACTGGTCTGATGTAGAACAGGATATCTGGAGGCTGTTTGCAACTGTGGTCACAAAATTCAATGTTCTGGGAGAATTGGAAGCAGCTCCATTTTTTGGGGGCCCCTTACACAGCTCGAGGTCTGAGCCCCAGGGCCTGACGGTGAGTATGCCCATAAGGCCCACTCATAAGTCCATTTATATGTTCCACCCACCCATGGGTTCGCTCACAGGGAGTGGAGTGTGTAGGGGATGTGTTATGTGTTATTGTAGAGGAGCTAATATGTGTACTTATGGTATGTAGTGTATAGGGATACCAGTTTGTGTAGGTGATGCAGTGTGTTTGTGTGTAGTGGAAGCAGTGTGTATTTGTGTATAAGGGATGTATTATGTGTTTTTGGTTGTGTGTAAGGGATGCATTGTGTGAATCTGTGTTTGTATGCATAAGGGATGCAAGGTGTGTGTCTGTATGTGTGTGCATTGAGTGTGTGTAAGAGATGCATTGTGTTTCTGTGTGTATGTAAGAAAAGCAGTGTGTGTGTTTGCATGTGTGTGTAAGGGTTTGCATTGTGTGTTTCTGTGTATGTGTGCAAAGGATGCATTGTCTGTGTGTAAGGGTTGCATTGTGTGTGTGTGTAATGGATGCATTGTGTGTTTCTCTGTGTGTAAGGGAAGCATGTTGTGTTTCTGTGTGTGTAGGCATAGGCGTGCGCAGCCTATTGCATTAGGGTGTCCACCCTAAAGCACAAGCACACTCCGCATATATATATATATATATATATATATATATATATATATATATATATATATACACACACACACACACACACACACACACACACATACACACACTGGTAGTGTGCTATGTGGGTGAGGGTGTTTGTGTGTGCGTGCTTGTGAGGATGCTGTTAATGTACTGTGTGTGAGGGTGCTGTTTGTGTGTATGTGCGCGCTTGTGAGGGTGCTGTTAATGTACTGTGTGTGAGGGTGCTGTTTGTGTGTGAGGGTACTGGTAGTGTGCTGTGTGTGTGTTTGTTAGGGTCCTGTTTGTGTTTGTGAGGGTACTGTTAGTGTGCTGTGTGTGTGTGAGGGTGCTGTTTGTGTGCTGTATGTGTGTTGGTGCTGTGTATGTCTGTGGGTGCTGTATGTCTGTGGGTGCTGAATGTTTGTGGGTGGTGTGCTGTATGTGGGTGGTGTGCTGTATGTGGGTGGTGTGCTGTATGTGGGTGTGCTGTATATGGGTGGGTGATTGTGGGAGTGGAGGTGGGGGTACATTACTTGCTATCCCCCCTCCCTTCTTACCTTTTGTAGGGAGGGGGGATCGTGCTGCTGATTCCATCCCTGGTGGTCCAGTGGAGAGTGAACTCTAGCCCCTGTGGAGCAACGCTCATATCACGCGAGAGGAACCCGGCGGAGCTGCCGGCAATAGCTCCGCCGGTCCTCTCCTGCCTCCCTCCCTGCATGTGGGTTGGTGGGGAGGGAGGCTGAGAGCAGATAGCGCCGGCTCTGCATGAGCCGACAGGGGAGATCCTGAGATCTCCCCTGCCGGTCTCAATATACATAGGCATGCCGCAGGGATTAGGGTGTGCCCAGGCACACCCGGCACACGCCGTGCGCACGCCTATGTGTGTAGGGATGCATTGTGTGTTTCTGTGTATGTATAGGTATGCATTGTGTGTGTGTGCGCATAGTGTGAAAGAGCTCCCTGTCTTGCCCCTTTCCTACAGAGCTATCCCTTCTGTCCCTTAGAGCTCTCCCCTGCCCCTTAGTGGTCTCTCCTCTCACCCACCCTCCCCTAGCGGTCTCTTCTCACACTCACCCACCCTCCCTGTGCTCTTCTCATCCCCCCCAGTGCCTCCCTCCATGTGTTCTCCTCCCCCCTCCATGTTCTTCTTATTGCTCCCCCATTCTTCTTACTCCCCCTTCTTCTTCTTACCCTCCCTCTCCTTAACCCCTCTCCTCTTCTTCTTACTCCCCACTCTTTTTCTTACTCCCCCTTCTTCTTACCACCCTCTTTTTCTTATCTCCCCTCTCTTCTTACTCCCCCTTCCCCTCTTCTTACTCCCCCCTCCCCCTCTTCTTACCCCTCCTCTCACCTCCCCAGTAGCGTGGCCGAGCTCCTCTCCGGTCCGCGGTGCCCAGCCGGGGTGATAGGAAGGTGCACACTGAGTGTGCACTTCCTGTCAGTCCGGCCGGGTACAGGAAACATAAACTCCTGTTCCGCGCTCAGTGTGCACCTTTCTATCACTCCGGCCGGGCACCGTGGATCGGAGAGGAGCTCAGCCACGCTACAGGGGAGGGGAGGGGAGGGGAGGAGAGAAGCAACTGCAGCCGCCTGAGGCTTTTAACAGAGCGCTCAGGCGGCTGCAGCATTTAAAGGGCCGGCCCTGCAGCGGCCGGTCTTAAAAGAATTTAGGGCAGCCTGGGGGGCAATTGCACTGGCAAGCTGACAGACAGTTGTCTGGCCCAATCAGCTCGTGCCCACCCCTCAGTGGGCCGCACAAGCTGGGAAAAAAAGCGCGGCAAAGTTTTGCCACAAACAATATGGCTGCCGCGGGGCGCAGCCGTTACTGCGCATGCGCGAGCGGCACCCGACCACGGACCGGGCCCAGACGGAACGGACAGTTCCCAGGAGGATGCCCCACGTCTGGGTAGCCGGTCTCCGTGATCGCCGCGCGATTAGGGAAATAAACTACCCGAATGCAAGGGAAAATGGAAGGGCGGCAGGCTGAAGCAGCTCACGCCTAGATGGCTCCTATGAAGGGGCCAGCACAAAACAATTAACAGCAAGACATTAAACAGTTGTAAATTAAAACATTGAACTCGGTGAACAGTACAGTATTACATCAAATATACAGATATAAACACAGGCAGTAAAAACCTGTCAGAGTGAAATGAAAATGGTGGTACTTAGCGGCGGCAGCAAAGAAAGAGGAAGAGATGGGGGTCACATGGGACTATATGTTATGTGGACTGTTCCTATTGGATAGGATATAGTGAAGTAATGGTTTAACCCTGTGTAAAATTAAGGATTTTGTTTCAAAGAGAAAGAAAAAAAGTTAAAGCTAAGAATGAGAAAAAAAAAAAAAAAGATTTTTAGCTCAAATGTTAACTATCCCCGATAATATTTAGTAAAGCAGATGTTAGGAATTTATGTTTTTATCACAATTTCAAAGCTTTTTTTTCCTTCCTACTTTAGGTTACATTCACTTTCTCACTTCATGTTATTATATTTCATAATAGAGTATGGACTTTTTTCAATATAATTAGTTTTTGTAATTAGTAATAAAGTGCCTCTCATCTTATTTTAAAAATAAAATAAATAATTTTGCTTAATGGAAAACCTTGCTTAATTTAGAGTAATTTAGTGGTGTTGGCGTATATTCCTTTAATACCAAGATGCAGAGAATGTCATGTGCTTTCCATACAGTGTGTTCCCACAGGCATTGGGGTTGGGATTCTTTTTTAAGAATGAGGCGTTGTGTAGAGGGCTTGGTTTGAAAATGAGCACACCCAAATAAGCCGGATAGATCACATAACACTGGAGAACTTCTTCCTTGTAACAAACAATAGTGAAGCAGCAGTACACAAGACTTAAAATGTCCATATCGTCTCTCATCACCTTCCTGAAAAGCAAGGAGTCCATTATATTCAATGGAGCAGTGGCACTATTAACTGTTGGAGGTCAACAACTATTTTCTTTTTTTGCTTTCAGCTGTCCGTGCCATCACACTCACAACCTGAACTATGGTTTAGCTTTCCTGGGAGTGCCTGCTTTAATCCTGTTGATTGTGGGTTTTGTGTTCAATGACAACACATGGAGGCTGTTCACTAACTCTGCAAGCCGCTTCTACATCCATGACTACAGCAGACAGAGCACCTTGATTAGGTATAAGCTCATCTGCTATGTGCTCCTCAGTATCATTGGGAGGGCACTGGTCGCCCCTGTCACCTGGCTGGCGGTGACTCTGCTGAACGGGTCCTACTATGTGTGTGCACTCAGTGAGTATGTGAGTGTGGAGCAGTATGACTTCTTTAGGAATATGAGTATCGAGGTTCGGAGAAACACACTTGCCCAGTTACCATGTCAACAGCTAGTTCCAGCCAATTTGTCCAGAATTAGAGAGGAGATTCTCCTGGAGCTGAAATACCAATCTCAGGTAGGTCTGAAACCGCAATACCAATGTAGACAAACTAACTTTAATGATAAATTGTGTCTACAGGCAGGGGTGGCCTTTTGCTGACATTTAAAAACAACCTCACTACTACCCAGTACCCACACTGTCACTCACACATTTGGCAACACCCTGCTCTTAGAGGATACTGTGCTGTCACGCAAACTGCAGAATGTGTTATATACTGCTACTTTGTTGCAATATTAGTACATTGCATTAGAAAATACAATGCGAAATGTGGAGCAAACTACTAAGATTGCCAGTGTCAGCATGCACCAGAACAAACACCAATGTAAACAACATGCACAAGGAGATTTATTTACTAATTGATGAATTGTAGTTTAGTTTGACGTTCAAACTAGACTACTACACCACGTGATAAGTTGTAATTTAATGAATAAACTCCCATGTGCATGTTACTCCAATATTTTACTTGCTTGCAAATGCTTTTAATTTGATGCATGACATTTTTGTAAAATCATGCAGTCTCTGCCTACCTATGTAATTGCATATAATGTACTTATCTTGTACCTACCTACTTGTTCCTACCTATTGTGCCTAATAGTTCTTTCTGAAAATGACTGTTGACCTGCACAAAAGATTATACATTAAATAATATGAATACTTACCTATACATCTGATCTTATCTTCTCTCAGTATACTGAGTGTATTTCCTTAGTGTAGGACCTAGACTCTAACTATAAACTAACTGGAACAGACAGTGCCTTTAGCCAGCCAGTCACATGGATCACATAGGCTAGGCATTGACAGCCTAGCCTATAAATTTGCCATAGACTAACACTAAAGAGGTGCCAGAATAAGATGAGTATGTATGATGTATCTGGAGGTATTTGCAAGTGATCTTATGGCAAAATAAGATAGGGCTTGTGACATTTACAATACATCAGTTGCCACACATGGCAGTGGAGTCGTGGGAAATAGAGTCTGTATCTCCTAGACATGCACAGATCTCTGCATGCTCTGTAAACATGTACTAATTGTGATTGTAACAATATATGATGTATTCCATCAATTATTACCTTGAAACTGACCACACCCACTGTCACAAAGCTCCGCCCACTATGACCAACCCACATTATTAATCCCCGCCTACTTATAGTTCAGATTACAGGGTCTACTCAATAAAGAGAGAATTACAGTGAATTGAGATGGTAATTTTAAATTTAAAGGACCACTCTAGGCACCCAGACCACTTCAGCTTAATGAGGTGGTCTGGGTGCCAGGTCAAGCTAGGGTTAACCCATTTTTTTTATAAACATAGCAGTTTCAGAGAAACTGCTATGTTTATGAATGGGTTAAGCCTTCCCCCAAATCCTCTAGCGGCTGTCTCATTGATAGCCGCTAGAGGCGCTTGCGTGATTCTCACTGTGAAAATCACAGTGAGCGCACACAAGCGTCCATAGGAAAGCATTGATAATGCTTTCCTATGCGACCGGCTGAATGCGCGCGCAGCTCTTGCCGCGCGTGCGCATTCAGCCGACGGGGAGGAACAGAGGAGGATCGGAGGAGGAGAGCTCCCCGCCCAATGCTGGAAAAAGGTAAGTTTTACCCCTTTTCCCCTTTCCAGAGCCGGGCGGGAGGGGGACCCTGAGGGTGGGGGAACAATCAGGGCACTATAGTGCCAGGAAAACGAGTATGTTTTCCTGGCACTATAGTGGTCCTTTAACCCCTTAAGGACCAAACTTCTGGAATAAAAGGGAATCATGACATGTCACACATGTCATGTGTCCTTAAGGGGTTAAAGGACCACTATAGGCACCCAGACCACTTCAGCTTAATGAAGTGGTCTGGGTGTCAGGTCCATCTAGGATTAACCCTTTTTTTTTTTTTATAAACATAGCAGTTTCAGGGAAACTGCTATGTTTATAATATGGTTAATCCAGCGTCTAGTGGCTGTCTCTTGAAAATCACAGTGAGAAGATGCCAGCGTCCATAGGAAAGCATTGTAAATGATGGTAATTTTAAACTTAAGGCCAAAAGTAGCCAAGTTGAAAAAATTCTCCTGTTCATGTGCACTATTTCGACCTAAAGTTTAAAATTCCCATCACAATTCCCTGCAATTCTCTCTTTATTGAGTAGACCTTTAAAGAAACATAGAAACATAGATACATAGAATGTGACGGCAGATAAGAACCATTCGGCCCATCTAGTTTGCCCAATTTTCTAAATACTTTCATTAGTCCTTGGCCTTATCTTATAGTTAGGATAGCCTTATGCTTAAACTCCTTTACTATGCAATTCAGCTGGAAGGCTATTCCATGCATCCACTACCCTCTCCGTAAAGTAATACTTCCTGATATTATTTTTAAACCTTTGCCCCTCTTTTTTAAGATTATGTCCTCTTGTTGTGGTAGTTTTTCCTTCTTTTAAATATGGTCTTCTCCTTTACTGTGTTGATTCCCTTTATGTATTTAAATGTTTCTATCATATCCCCCCTGTGGAAAACCTAGCCACTTACAGAGTATTATGTATATATATGCCTGATGTTTGTTTCCATTGTGTCTCTATTCGTGAGAAACGTAACCCCTGTTAAATGTATCTGTATGCAAAGATTATCACCTAATGGTCGTATGCATTCGTGTGTTACAGCACACGAATACCGCTAACACGCTGTTGCAGGTTTCACGAACAGTGGATTCGTACCCTGTTTGTGAAACAAACAAAAGACCGAATGGGAGACCACCCCAGAAGGTTGTGTGCCTCTCGTTAGTAAAGCCGAAACATTGTATACATCTGTTAATGAGCGTTCTGTGTGTGGCCACCATTCGTGTACCGAACACGTGGCGGCAGCCATCTTTGCTTTGTTAGAGTTCAGCGGTGTTTGGTCGTCGAGTGCCTGGAACCGAAATTGGGTACTTGATTTTCAAACACCGCTGGACTTCCATAGCGGTAGGGAAACTCTCTCCTTCGGAAAAATAAACCCATTCGTGAGTTTTCTCTGCTAAAACCCAGTTTGTGTCAAGGTCTATTGCGAGCCGCGTTTGGTTGTTTCTGCAGGGATCAGAGCGGTACCCTTATTGCTGAGCTCGTGGAAGGAGACAGAGCAGCAGCTGCTGCAGCACCTCCAAGGGAGAAGGAACAAACTGAATTTCAGAAAGAATTCAGGAGTAGGTTGGCCCTGTACCCAACTACACCAACCCCAGAGATTTTCGAAAGGATCATGGCAAATGTACAAGAATACCTCAAGCCAGAGAGGAGTCGCCGGCTTCACCCAGCATGATACAGGAAAAACCAAAAATTCCCTTCCAAGCTTTTAAAAATGTTACAGACACAGAGGGGGATATTGACGGATATTTGCAGGACTTTGAAAGACTGTGCCAGCTGCATGATATCAGGCCCCAAGATCAGGTACCCCTGCTAGCTGGTAAATTATCTGGCCGCGCAGCGGAAGCCTACCGGGCCGTGCCTGATGAGGACAGCAGAGATTACCAGAAGGTAAAACAAGCCATCCTAGTCCAGTATGCCATTACCCCTGAGGCATACCGACTCCAATTCCAGGACCTGAAAAAACAGGAAAAGCACTACCACGCTGAGTTTGCGCACTGCTTACAATAAGCAGTCACCGGGTGGATTGAGATGGCACAAGAAACTACACGGAAAGAGATCATGCAACTACTGCACAGAGATGCAGAACTGGGTAAGGGACCGTAAACCATGTACCTTACAAGACGCAGCTAAATTAGCAGATGAACACCAATACACTAGACGAGAGCACCGCCCAAGGTATTTCCCCAGCCAATCACCCACCGACCTGCCTTGGCCGATCCAGCTCACCCATGATCGGGGGAGCCAACAACCAATACCAACCTAGGTACCCCACCCGGGCACATATCCGATGCCACACCTGCAACCAGCTAGGGCATGTACAAAGAGAATGCCCTTGAAACAGGGCAAGACCAGCATGGCCCAACCAAGGCCAACCGCCTGGCCCTAGAGCTACAGTACACTGCTACCAGCCCTCCACAGCCACCCAGGTGGAGGAACCTCTAGGCACTCTCCACGAAGTTAACCCCGTTCAAGCGGCATCCGACAACTGCCAAAGCCATCGACAAGTTGTCCACGTAGAAGGGAAACGTATGGAAGGACAGAGATTCCGGGGCCACCATCACCTTGGTCCGAAATCACCTTGTGCCAAAAGACCAACTTACGCAGGGGGAGCAATCTACAAGGTTCCCACTGTCAAGATACATTTGAATTGGGGAGCGGAGTCAGGGAACGTGGAGGTGGGGATGATGCAAGACTTGCCAGCAGATGTTATTTTGGGAAATGACTTGGGGGAGCTCACCTCCCCTTTTGTTCCTCGAACCACCAGGCAGCAGGCTCACACCAAGGCACAATCCAGTGACTCTGAGGTTCAGGTAAGTGATGAAACCCATAATCACACTGCCCTTCCCTGGGATGCCCCTCAAGAATTTGGTAGCGAGGTCGCTCTAGATCCTTCCCTGCAGGTTTACAAAGACCGAATAGACAAGAACCAGGCAAGCTTAGAAGGAGAAAGATATGCTTGGGCTAAAGGGTTATTATACCGGTATGCAGAGAAGGTAGGAGCCGGGTCTATCCCCATCCCCATAAAACAGTTATTTGTGCCTCGAAAGTACAGACAGGAGTTACTGCGTATAGCACACGACCTTTGTCGGGTCATATAGGGATCAGCCGAACTAAACAGTGGCTGACCCAGAACTTCTTCTGGCCGTGTATCTCCAAGGATATTAGACAATACTGTAATACCTGTGATACCTGCCAGAGAGTAGGGAAAAGGGGAGACCGCTATAAAGCCAAACTCTATTCCTTACCCATAATAGAAGAACGAGTTTTAGTCGAGTAGCCTAATCGAACCGCTGAAAATGCCTAGTCCCTCCGACAAGAAGTACATATTGACCGTAGTGGACTACGCCAACAGATACCCCGAAGCAGTGGCCCTAACGAATGTACATGCCGAGACCATAGCGGATGCCCTTATGTAAATATTCTCCCGCATGGGATTTCCACAGGAGATTATTTCGGATAGGGGTACCCAATTCACGGCAGAGGTCACCCACCAGCTCTGGAAAGTATGTGGGGTAAAATCTATCCTTAACTCACCCTACTACCCCCAGTCCAATGGTCTCTGTGAACGATTCAACGGAACACTTAAACAGATGATCCGAATGTTCATAGACACGCAGAAAGACTGGGAGCGGTTTTTACCCCACTTGCTGTTCGCCTATAGGAAAGTGCCACAAGAATCCATGGGGTTCTCGTCCTTTGAGGAGAGTGAGGGGACCCCTAGATTTAATCAGTGAGCACTGGGTGGGGGGGTTACCACTAATGGTACCCCTATTGTACCATATGTACTGGAGTTCCGGGAGCGCTTGGAGGCTTTAACCCAGAGGGTACGTAACAACCTCCAGGCAGTCCAACAACGACAGCGCAGATGGTATGATAGGGGGCCAGGGACCGCATTTTTCAGGTCGGGCAGAAGGTGTTAATCCTACGACCCGTCCCTAGTGACAAGCTACAGGCCTCCTGGCAGGGCCCATTCAAGGTGGTAGAGCAAATATGCGATACCACCTATATAATTGGCCCGATCGCTGGCGCAGGAGGCAGACGCATGCTCCATGTGAACATGCTGAAACCCTACCACGAGCAAACAGAAATGGTAACCGCGATCTGTGCCTCTGCCGCTGAGGATGTTGATAACCTGCCGCTACCAGACCTCCTGGCGGGAGAAGGCCAAAATGAGGATCTGGAGGCCGTACAGCTAGGGGAACGTTTGAATCCTCAGGAGAGAACCCAGGCCCAAAGTTTAATTAGGGAAAGGGAGCCACCTTTTCTAATCTCCCAGGGTATATTCCACCAGCCACCCACCGGGTAGAAATCCCAGGACAAACACCCCTCCGCCAACCTCCTTACCGCATCCCGAGTCTGTAAAAGAGAATATGCGTAAGGAGATTGAGGAAATGTTACAATTAGGGGTTATCGTACATTTGGATAGCCCATGGACTTCCCCAGTGGTACTAGTGCCGAAGCGGGATGGAACTACCCGCTTCTGCGTAGATTATCTAAGGCTCAATGATAAAACAGTACCTAATGCCTACCCTATGCCCCGGATAGACGAGATCTTAGATAAGATGGCCAGGGGCCAGTTCCCTTTACCACGATAGATCTTTGTAAAGGGTACTGGCAAATTAATTTAGCCCAGGACGCCATCCCTAAGTCGGCTTTGTCACCCCGTTTGGCCTGTACCAGTTTAAGGTCATGCCATTCGGGATGAAAAACGCTCCAGCCACCTTCCAAAGGATGTTGGACCGGCTATTAGATGGGTTTCAGGAATACGCGTGCGCATATCTAGATGACATAGCGATCTTTAGGTATTCCTAGACCGACCACCTGAGCCATGTAGGAGCCGTACTAGATCGCATTAGAGAGGCAGGGCTAACCCTTAAAGCCAGTAAGTGCCATATAGGGATGGCCAAAGTTCAGTATTTAGGACACCGGGTAGGAAGCGGCCAGCAAAAGCCAGAACCTGCCAAAACAGAGGCTGTAGCCAAATGGCCAACACCCCGTACCAAAACCCAGGTACTAGCGTTCTTAGGTACCGCAGGGTACTATCGTAAATTTGTGCCCAATTACAGCACCCTGGCGAAACCCCTCACTGATTTAACCCGCAAAAACCTCCCTAAGTTAGTAGTATGGGCCCCAGAGTGTGAACGGGCATTCCAACAACTAAAAACTGCTCTTGTTAACGCACCTGTACTTGCTGCTCCTGATCCAACTAAACGCTTTTTCGTCCATACAGACGCTTCTATGTTTGGATTGGGAGCAGTACTGAGCCAAGTCAGAGCAGATGGTGGCGAGCATCCCGTAGCTTACTTAAGCAGAAAACTTTTGCCCCGAGAAGTAAGCTACGCCATCGAAAAGGAATGCCTTGCCGTTGTGTGGGCCCTCAAGAAGCTGCAACCATATTTGTATGGACAACCATTCTCGCTACTCACAGATCACAACCCGTTGGTATTGCTGAACCGGGTATCAGGAGACAATGCCAGGCTGCTGCGCTGGAGTTTGGCGCTGCAGACTTTTGACTTTACCATCCACTACCGCCCGGGAAAGCTAAATGGCAACGCCGACGGGTTTATCTAAACAAATTGAACTTGAAAAGTGATCTGTGGGTACTCCTCCGGACATCCCCAAGCCAATCCGTTGGGATAAGACTGTGTATGCCGGCTTGGTTCTGGGGGAGCATTGTGGCAAACCTAGCCACTTACAGAGTATTATGTATATATATATATATGCCTGATGTTTGTTTCCATTGTGTCTCTATTCGTGAGAAACGTAACCCCTGTTAAATGTATCTGTATGCAAAGATTATCACCTAATGGTCATATGCATTCATGTGTTACAGAACACGAATACCGCTAACACGCTGTTACAAGTTTCACAAACAGTGGATTCGAACCCTGTTTGTGAAACAAACAAAATACCGAATGGGAGACCACCCCTGAAGGTCGTGTGCCGCTCGTTAGTAAAGCCGAAACATTGTATCCATCTGTTAATGAGCGTTCTGTGTATGGCCACCGTTCGTGTATAGAACGCGTGGCGGCAGCCATCTTTGCTTTGTTAGAGTTCAGCAGTGTTTGGTCGTCGAGTGCCTGGAACCGAAATCAGCTACTTGATTTCCAAACACCGCTGGACTTCCATAGCGGTCGGGAAACTCTCTCCTTCGGGAAAATAAACCCATTTGTGAGTTTTCTCTGCTAAAACCCAGTTCGTGTGAAGGTCTATTGCGAGCTGCGTTCGGTTGTTTCTGCAGGGATCAGAGCGGTACTTCGGTATATTGTACCGATCGATCCCTGCAATCTAATGTGGGGTCATTCAGTAAAATATGTGGTGAATTGCCAAAGTTAGTGAATTTAATGTAAAATGTTACTTTTTCCTGTGCCTGTTAATCATGTAATTATATCTCTGGTACAGCAGTGTATGCTGGGTAATCAGCCTGTAAGCTCAGTCCCCCAAGTAGTCCACTACTGGACAACCCCTGTAATGTGACTTGGGAAACCCCTTACATTTGTAACCACATAAATACTGTGACCTGTGATTAAAACCTCAGTTGACCTCCAAGCTATGTGTCGTCTAGTTTTTGGGAGAAAGGGATTGTAACTACGCTACCTGGCTTCTGCCTACTTTGTACCTGCGTTATTCTGTCTGTCAGTGGAGATACCGTGGATAATACTACTACTCCGCTACACCCCCTGTCTCATCTTTCCTCCAAGCTATACATGTTATAATACCAAGTTCCCACCAACAGTACCATGCATCCATGGTATGCGATAGATACATGTGCAGCACAGCATCTATATCAGGCAGGTGCATTTTATCACTTTTATGTGAGTTTGGTATCAGTGGTGACAATGTCAGTGCTTCAGTCAGAGAGCTGTGTCTAACTCTATACCAGGGGTAGTCAACCTTTTAATACCTACCGCCCACTTTTTTATTTTTGTTGATGGTAAAATTTCCTTACCGCCCACCCCAGTGGGTAAAATTTCCTTACTGCCCCAGTAACTAATTTTATAGTGCAAGTGTAATTTTAAACCAATTTTTTTTAGAAATTAGGGTTTTCTTTAAAATAAAATGTACTTAAATTTATCTATTTTTTCCCCTTTTTTTTAATTCTCCTTTTTTTTTTTATATGTGTGTCTGTGAGGTGCTGTGTGCGTGAATGGTGCTGTGTGTGTGTGCTTATGTGTGAAGGGTGTAGTGTGTGTGTGTTAGAGGGGCAGTGTGTGTGAAGGTGCCGTGTGCAGACTCAAGGAGGCTGACGGCTCAGCGGTGTTCACGCAAATAAGTGTCCATTTCCAGTTCCATAGGTTGGGCGCTGAACACCGCAGGCCGTTCGGGACTTTAAAATGCCACCGCCACGTGTTCGGCAAACGAACAAAGGCCATCCAGCATTCGTCACTTAAGCTGTGGTTAACCGCAGCTTCTGGGAGGTAAATTGCTGACACACTCCCAATACAGGTGGTCCAGTCATTCGGTTGTTTGTTCGGTAGATTGAATCTACCGAACGCCAGGCAGAAAGGCACGAACAAGCCTTTTCTGCAGGGGAAAAGAAGGCTTTTTAACATGGGGCCATAGTCCAAGGGCAACAGGCAAGCAACCAGGCTTCTCCAATGCTTCGTGGCGAGGTTTGTTTCGCCACAAGAACTATACAGGGAGCACTGACTGTCCCAGGATATTATACACATAGACCTGTACTATACAGAGAGCAGCACTTTACAGGGAGCACTGACTCTCCCGGGATATTTTGCACACAGACCTGTATTATACAGAGAGCAGCACTATACAGGGAGCACTGACTGTCCCAGGATATTATACACACAGACCTGTATTATACAGAGAGCAGCACTATACAGAGATCACTGACTGTGCCCGGATATTATACACAGACCTGTATTATACAGAGAGCAGCACTATACAGGGAGCCCTGACTGTCTCTGAATATTATACACACATACCTGTATTATACAGAGAGCACCACTATACACTATACAGGGAGCACTGACTGTCCCAGGATATTATACACACAGACCTGTATTATAGAGAGAGCAGCACTACACAGGTGGCACTGACTGCTCCAGGATATTATACACACAGACCTGTATCATACAGAGAGCAGCACTATACAAGGAGCACTGATATTATAGGATATTATACACGCAGGTCTGTATTATACAGATAGCTGAGCATAATATCTTGTGTTTCAATCTCTAGACCACTAGTACCTGTTAACAGCAGCTCCCAGCCGCGTGTTACAGGGTTGGACAATGCAGGCTTAACTGTGTGGCAGCTCACGCAGGTGTTTTGGTGGTAAAGTGCACCAGCCCTATAAGTCATGTATAGTATTAAGTCAAATATATATAGTAAGCACACAAACTCACTGATACACAGGCTCAAAGACAGACAAGTTCACTAACACTCAAAATTAGGCTCACTGACAGACATCTCTAACTCACACACAAGCTTACTACAGACAAACTCACTTGTATAGACACACAAGGATTACTAAATACAAACTCACTGACATAAACAAGCTCACTACAGACAACCTCACTGACACACTAGCTCGCTACAGACAAGTTCACTAACACACTAGCTCAGTACATAAAAGTTCACTGACACAAACACATACAAGCTCACTACAGACAAGCTCACTCACACACACAAGCAGTGCCATCTTAACAGCGTTCTGGACCCCCTGGGCAAAGCAGTGCACTAGGGCCCTTCCTACACAACAACGTTATCAATTATCAATAAAATTAAGCTTATATTTATTGGTACCTCCAACATATGCAATACATACATACAATACTTACACACAGACTGCTGAATACAGTCACAGACTGCTGAACACGTTCACACACAGACTGCTGAATACACGCACACACTGACTGCTAAATATACATACACAGACTGCTGAGTACACACACGCAGACTGCTGAGTACACACACACACACACACACACACACACAGACTGCTACACATATAGACTGCAGAGTACACACAGACAGCAGAGTACATGCAGACAGACTGCTGAATACACACACTCTGCAAATAGGGGTGTTGTGTGTGTGTAAGGGTGTTGTGTAGGGGTGTTGTGTGTGTGTAAGGGTGTTGTGTAGGAGTGTTGTGTGTAAGGGTGTTGTGTGTGTGTAAGGGTGTTGTGTAGGAGTGTTGTGTGTGTGTGTGTGTAGGGGTGTTGTGTGTGTGAGGGGTGCAGTGTGTGATGAGTGATGTGTGTGTGTTTTGGGGGTGCAGTGTGTGAAGAATGCTTTGTGTGTGACAGGTGCTGTGTGTGGGGGGGTGCAGTCTGTGACAAGGGCAGTTTGTGATGGGTGCTATGTGAGTGTGTGTGAGGGGGGGCTTTGTGTCAGGGGTGCTGTGTGTGTCAGGGGTGCTGTGTGTGTGTGTGTGTGAGAGAGGGGTGCAAGCAAACTGAGAAACACACACACTTTCTCACTAGCAGGTACACACACATAGCTGAGTATATCAAGCCTACCTTGCACTGGAGACTGTTGCTGAGAGGTCAGGTAGCCATTTTCTGGCCTCTTCCAACTGCAGCAAGGTCTCCTGCTTAATAGCAGGGGCGGAGCTTCCATTGTGGGGGCGGAGCCTGAATCCACAAGGCAGAACAGGAGCCTGTGTGCAAGGGAAGCTGCTGGGAAATCGGAAGGGAGACTGTCAGTTCTCCCTCCGGCCCCCAGCATCTCTCTCTTTAGGTCCGAGGGAAAATTAAAAAAAACGAATGGCAAGAAAGTTGCCGGGACTGTCCCGGGAGGTTGATTTACCCAGGACAGACTCCAGCTTGCCGGGACTGTCCCGGCAAAAACGGTACAGTTGGCAAGTATGCATTGCCTGCTTCAGGTGAGCATGTACACAAACTCTACGATCTATGAGTTTTGTGAGGGAAAAATAGGCCATTCATTTTCACTTGCACTTCAGGCCAAATGGCTGATTCTGTTTTGAGAATATGTGAATGTATCGTTGTCTTTTTTTTTTGTGTATGTGTGTATATGTGAGTGAACAACTGTATTTCTCTAAACAAAAACAACATATGTGAACACAACCCCAGTGAAAAAATACAATTTGAAGCAAACCAGGACTTCCCTGCAATTTAGGTGAAATATCCAGGTAAATCCCCAAAGACTTCCTCTGTCTTCAGATATGTATATACAAATAGAATAGGGGATGATCTGCTAAATACAAATTAAATAAAGAAACATAGCGTTTAACTGTGTGGGGACTAGTAACAGTGTGCAGTTACAATTGGTCACTCACAAATTGTTTGATGTAAAAAAGCCTTGGATAATATCCTTTTTCTTCAATATCCACTGTGTTGTCCCTCCTCACATGCCATGGGCAGATGGGTACATATAACTCAAAAGAAAAAAAATATACAAAATGTAGTGCACTTCCAGAGTATATTAAAAAGTAATTTAATGACTTACATTTGGATATAAAACAAACAGCATGTCACCATGAAAGACGTTTTCATGGTGACATGCTGTTTGTTTTATATCCAAATGTAAGTCATTAAATTAATTTTTAATATACTCTGGAAGTGCACTACATTTTGTATATTTTTTTTCTTTTGAGTTATATGTACCCATCTGCCCATGGCATGTGAGGAGGGACAACACAGTGGATATTGAAGAAAAAGGATATTATCCAAGGCTTTTTTACATCAAACAATTTGTGAGTGACCAATTGTAACTGCACACTGTTACTAGTCCCTACACAGTTAAATGCTGTGTTTCTTTATTTAATTTGTATTTAGCAGATCATCCCCTATTCTATTTGTATATAACTGTATTTCTCTGTCTAATTAATTGCGTATCACATGGTTTGGGGTTTTGTGTGTGTGCATGTGTGATTGTGTTGTTTTAGCTTGTGGTTTATTGTGAGCAGGCAGGTGTAGATGAAAGGAATACTATAGGTTAGGAACACAAACATGTATTCCTGATCCCATAGTGTTAAAAACACAATCTCTGCCCCCTTAAGGGGGCTAGATGGCGGTTTTAACACTATAGGGTCAGAAATATGTTTTTGTTCCTGACCCAATAGTGCTCCTATAACGATTGGGATAAATTCTACATTTGTGTCCCTTTTAAGAATGATGATTTGTTAAGAAGGCCCAATTTAATAATGGACACACCCAAAGAAGTTAGAAGCTTCAAATAACACTAATAGCATTTGTTACCTGAACTAAAATAGGAGAAACAGTACAAAATGACCTTTGAGTTGCTGAAGCACAAAGAGTCCTTGATCTTCAATGGATTAATTGCACTTTTAACTGTTGGAAGCCAACAGCTTTTTTCTTTTTTTGCTTTTAGCTGTCCATGTCGCTACACTTGGAATCTTACCTATGGCTTAGCTTTCCTGGGAGTGCCTGCTTTAATCCTGTTGATTGTAGGTGTTGTGTTCAACAGCCAAACATGGAGGCTGTTCACTAACTCTGCAAGCCGCTTCTACATTCAGGACTACAGCAGACAGAGCACCTTGATCAGGTATAAGCTCATCTGCTATGTGCTCCTCAGTATCATTGGGAGGGCACTGGTCGCCCCTGTCACCTGGCTTGCGGTAACTATGCTTAATGGGTCCTACTATGTGTGTGCACTCAGTGTGTATGTCAATGTGCAGCGCTATGACTTCTTTAAGAATGTGAGTGCTGAGGTTCGGAGAAACACACTTGCCCAGTTCCCATGTCCACAGCTAGTTCCTGCAAACTTGACCAAAATGAGAGAGGAGATTCTCCTGGAACTAAAGTGTGAATCGCAGGTAGGTCTAAAACCTCATTACCATTGTAATCAATGGAGGGCTGATAACTCCTTGGCCTGGGGGGCAACTACAAAGCAAAGATATATCTATGTGGTTGGTTCACTTTGCAAGTAATATGTGGGTTTGATAGATCTGGAATAGCCAAGTGTGATATCATACATCCACATAGCCTGTTAAGGTAGATACAGCATTTTAAGAGAGGCAGACTTTTGTGAACCGTACCTCATTTGCCATTAATGGTGAACTATATCTTGTGCGTTGTTACCCTACAGCACTTGCAGGAACCTCTAGGAAAACCACAATGTTAATCTGGTAACCTGCATGGCCTCCTATCTCATATCCGATTGGGCCAGTTCAGGCATGGAGAGTACAAGCCCGCACAGTGATTTTCACATTTTAGGCCAAAGTAGCTGAGATGAAAACATAGCTGAATTTTTCTAGTTGCAGTGAGGCTGCCACCTGCAAGGTCTATCAGCATTGTGTGTGTGTGTGTGTGTGTGTGTGTGTGTGTGTAGGGGTGCCTTGTTAGACCTTCCCTGATTGCAGTCTTATTTTAGATTTATAATCTTTTTCTCACTTCCAGAAAGAAATACTGAATAGTGGGCAGTCCCTGGCCCTACACAATCAGTTGTATTCACTATAGGGAAAAGTCAAAGAAATTTTTAGGCTACAATAATCAAATATGAGGGAAAAGAAAAATCAAATTCCTCCATGCTTTCATTGCTGTTAATTTTAGCCTAAAAGTGGTAATAATGTGTGTGTGTGTGTGTGTGTGTGTGTGTGTGTTTGTTTTTTTTTTTTTTTTAGGATTCGCACTGAATTCCCAGCAGTTAAAGGGAAACTATAGTGCCAGACAACAAAACTTGTTTTCCTGGCACTTTAGCCCCTCCAGCCTCTGATGTAGAGGGAGTTAAAAACCCAATCTGTCACTTACCTAAGTCCAGAGCGGCAATGGCTGCACTTGCACTAGGATTTACCCCATAGAAAAGCATTAAGTAATGACAGGATTTTTACCTCTTTCTACAGATCATAGACATCCCTGGGATCCCAAACTATTCACAATGTATGATGAGAGTTGAAGCAAATTATTCACTTATAGGTACACTATGGGAACCCACACCACCTCAGCTCCTTGATGTGGTCTGGGTGCATAGTTCCAGGTCCCTTAACCCTGTAAAAGGTAATTATTGCAGTTTTTAAGAAACTGCAATTATTACTATTCAGGGTTTACTCCACCACTAGAGGGACTTCCGGGCTGTTAAACGACTTTCAGTCACCAGACGCTGGACGTCCTCATGATTTGCATGGGGACGTCAGGCGTCATAATTACCTTTTACAGCTCTCATCATACATTGTGAATAGTTTGGGATCCCAGGGATCCCAGGGATGTCTATGATCTGTAGAAAGAGGTAAAAATCCTGTCATTACAGAAACACTTGATATAGCAAGGGTGAAATATAAAACGTGCATAAATTAGAAAGCGATGCTATCACTAATTTAAATATGTTGGTATGCTCACATCACAGGTAATTTTTTATTTTTTTTAAATTTGTTCTACACATAGGGAGGGGCCTGTTCATTAAATAAAGTTATAGTGCTTTGAACAAGGTTCAGAATAAGCCATATTGGGGAAAATGTTTTTGGTTTTTCAAAACAAAAGCATTTTTAAGTTATTCTAAAAAAAAAAAAGTGTCACCCCCACCCTGCAAAACTAGTAATTCATGAAGATAAAAGCCTTTATGAAATACTCATACTGACTTTCACTTTTTAATTCTATTCTAACTCTGGGACATTAGGGACTAACTTTGTCTCAGTATTTTTCCTACACCTAACACCTCAAAGGGACTCTCCAGTGCCAGGAACACAAACAGTTTTCCTGGCACTGCAGGTCCCCTCTCCCACTCCCCATCCCAAGTTGCTGAAGGGGTTAAAACCCCTTCAGTGACTTACCTGTATCCAGCGCTGATGTCACTCGGCGCTGATTCAGGATCCGCCCACGCTCCTCCCCCGTCGATGTCATCCAGGGGGGTAGACATATTGCGCTTGCACGGCCAACGGCAGGGAATGACCTAATGCGCACGTGCATTAGACATCACCATAGGAAAGATATGAAAAAATGCTTTCCTCTGCGGATATTAGCGACGCTGGAGGTCCTCACATAGCGTGAGAACGTCCAGCGACGCTATACTATAAGCCCGGAAGTACCAATGGGCAGAAGTGCTCTGTGTGCCTGGTGTGTCCCTTTAAGATACTGGTGGAGCTACCTCCATCGAAAAGTGTTCATCTCCCAGCTGTGTCCATTCCGTGAAATCCTCCTTAGGCCTCAATGCTGTACTCTTGCACACTGGTTTTTATTTTTTTTTTTTTTTTATTTTTTTTTCCCTTGTGAAAAATGCAAATATGAACACTAGTTCTTGTAGGCTTTGTGATTAAGTGGCTAAAAAAATGGACATATGCCATTTTAAATACCCTGAGTTGTCTACTTTTGCAAATGATCTGCCATGGCGTTGGTAAATCTCATTCCCGGGCTGCCATACAGTCTCAAAGACCACATAAGCCCAACAAGCCAATCTGATGAATTTCAATGATTAAGGACTGAAATGGGCACGCTCTTTATTTTACCCTGTAACTTTCCAAAGCACCATAAAAAAAATGTACATGGCGGGGGGCATCATTGCATTTTACAAAAATGTGTATTTTATTGCAGTAAAAGCTAACAATATGACATTCACAGTTAAAATGCCATGCCGAACTTGGAAAATAACATTTCTTAATTTCTCAAGCCCTATTTCTCATGAAAAATATTTATATTTTATGTGAGGTGCACTTAATATAAAAAAAGTAAATTATGGCTGACCAATTGTTTTTCAGTACAATTGCCTCAGTCCTTAAGGGCTTACACTATAATAAATGTATTTCAAAATCAGTCTGTGTATACAAGATGCATTGGTTTTATTATAAATTACATTTTAGTTGTAAAAATTATGAATAAGTAAGTCACCTAAAATTTCTCAGAACAGCGTATTCCGGGCCACACCCCCACTTACACAATTAAAATTTAAGTGTCCTCCTTTGTCCTTTTGAAATGTTGGGAGATATGACAATTTATAAATCTAATTTTGAGACAAAAACAATGTACCTTTTTATTGTAGATTAGACACATTACTATGAGTATTATTTCTGTCAAGTTATTATACACTCTCTCACAAACATGGGAAAAGCGGGATTATGGCATGGGACTCTCCCTCCTAAATAAGGACACTTGGCAGACAAGAAATGGGGCACTAGCAACTTAAGAGGAAAAATCTCCAATGCTAGATCAACAATGTTAAACTTTTTTTATTTTTACTGGAAATGCTATTTACACATACTGGCAAGTATAATATGCAGTGTGCTGTTCTGCTATAGAGAATGAAGTCATTAACTGAACAATCCCGCTTTAACAGCACTCTTTCATGAACACACATTTTACATGCTAATTTATCCGTAGCATGGAGACTGGAGAATCTGAAATGTAAGTAAGCGAGAGGGAAAAGATAAAATGTCCCAATACATAGTCTCCTCCTATATATGTGAAAAATGCGCGCGCGCGCACACACACACACACGCAATCTTAAAGCACAGATCATCTCTATTTGCAGATATCATTGTGATTGACAGCCATCTAGCTTGCTCCATGTAGGTATAGGTTTGGGATGGGATGTAGTAGTATGTAGCTTAATACATTTTAAAGGGATACTACAGGCATTAGAACTACTTTTGCATTAAGGGACACTTCACTGGCCAAATACAAAGTAAATAACAGTTTAGTAGATATACCCCAAATTAAAACATGCATTTTTTTTCATTAGGAGTATATCTAAAAACCACTTGCAAAAAAAACTTAATGTTTGCTGCCTTTGCAAACCTGCCCCTTCGGACCCAACCTAGAATGTATGTGAATGTCAAATCACAGACTTCCCATTGCAGCTCAATAAGAAGTCTATGTAAGGCAGGTGCTCCAGGCAATTGCTGCCTCCAATGAGCTAACCAAACCAGAAAGTAATATTACCTGTTGTCTGACAGGCAAGGGAATGTAACCAGGTTAATTTATAAAAGTGTTAATTTATACTGCATTTTTCGCAGAATGAAAAAAAAAAAAAGGGAAAGAATTTTCACACATACAGCTTTTCAGCAAGCTAAAGTGCTTTAGGGATCTGGAGAGTCCCTTTCATGACATTGGGACGTGTCATTACACCCTAACTATAATGGTCTATTAATGCCTTTTGGGACGTGATGAAACGTCCTGCAGGGTTAAATACCAATATAACACTGCAGAGTGCAAGAATATATCACAGAGCTACTGTGATATATTCTTGCACTTGGTGAATGTGGTTGAGTGTAATATGTGTGTGGGTGTTGTGAAGGTTGCTAAGTATGAGGTGCTTGGATTGTATGTATGATAGCCTGAATGTGAGGTGTGATGAGTGGGGTGGCTGAATGTGATTTGTAATAGCCATTTATCAACACTCCTGAGTTATATCGAACTCCATCTCTCGCCGTATTTCTCTCTGCCTTACCTTCCCACGTGTCTCTCTCACCAATCCAACTTCTCACTAGTCTTCAGCTACCTCTCTCATTGATGTGTCACTCATCCTTTCCCCTCCCTCCCATCATTTGTCTCTCATTACCCTCCACACACACACACCTGCAGTGTCATCTACATACATGTTATCAATCTCTTCCACTTTTATCCCCGCATCCCTACCCTCTCCTCTAGGCCTGCTCCCTATGCCTTCTACTTGCCCATTCACCAGCCTCTGCATAATTTTGCCCCTTCTTGCCATGCCTGCCTCTTAACAGCCGTTCCCTTTGCATTAGCCTGAACCACTGTGTCTTTCTTCATCCGGCAGGTCCCTATATTATGCTTCTAGCCATTCTTACTCCTGTCACTTACCTGCTAGGGAGTGGATCTCCCCTGGCTCTGCTTAACTGTGCTCCGTGTGAGGACAAAATAGAGGAAATATAGTCTGTGACAGTCAACTTGGGGGTGGGAGTGGGAGGGGCGCTTCAGCTCAGTATTAAGGGGCAGCAGAATTCGCTGGATCTGACCACCCAGTTAGTACCATAAACAAAAATCTGCCATTCTCCCTGGAGGGAGCTCTGATCCTGACTCCTTACCACCCTTGGCCTGGGACTTTTCAACAGGCCACCATTTGCTGAAGCCCCTGCCCGCCTGCCTTCCCAAGACCATGGCCACGGTGGTCTTATGGCAGATCTGGGTTCAGTGGGGACTCTGGTAAGAGGGCAAACCACTGCTAAACTGTTGAGTTCAGCTATGCTGGTCTTCAAGTGAACTTGTCGGCTGTGGAAGTTTGGCTAAATGGGCCCAAAATGCATTGAATACATGATGTATTAAATGTAAAATTATGAGAGAAACTCACCTTGCATTCATTCCAACACAGCCATATCCTGAACTGTGTTGGTGTTACTCTACAACCCATAGTGCTTAAAGAAGCACTATGGGGTCAGGAAAACAAACATATATATTTCTGACCTTATAGTGTTAAAACCACCATCTGGCCCCCTCTAGTCACTTTTTTTTAAATATAGTAAAATGTTACTTGTATTCAACTGCCACCTCTGCCCCTGTCTGCTGACATAATCAGAAGGGATTCTGTTAGCCAATCACAAGCTTCCCCATAGGCAAGTAGGCAGATAGGGGCAGAGCCAACACAAGTCAAACACAGCCCTGGCCAATCTGCATCTTCACATAGATTAATTAAAAAAGTTCAGAGGGTGGAGACGCTGAATGGTAGTGCTGCACATTAGGCAGGACTGCTTAAAGAAGCACCTCTAGTAGCCATCAGACGAGTGGCCAGTGAAGTTATCACTAGGCTGTAATGTAACCACTGCATTTTCTCTGAAAAGACAGTGTTTACAGCAAAAAGACTGAAGGGCTGAAGGGAAAGATTCTACTCACCAGAACAAATGCAATAAGCTGTAGTTTTTCTTGTGACTATAGTGTCCCTTTAACTGCTGATAAGGAGGATTGGACTGTGAGAGTTTGTGATGGGTAGCATAAACATGGGGGGGTGGGGGGTATAAGGGGGAGAAAGAATTATTATTTTTTTTTTTTTTTTTTTCAGTTTGGGGAAAAAAGGCAAATATTCACAGATGGTATGTAAGATGTTAAGGTGATTAGGGACATAATGTGCTCTAAAAAATATAAAGTGGTGTTCTAAGCATTATAAATGGCATAGGTCATTGTAGTGGTTATAGTGAAAAACAACTGTGCTCCTAGTTTGCATTGAACAGTTGGTTTACAAAAAAATACCGTCCCAATGCCTAAAGCAAAGTCACTCTGCAAGTGGTGTAGTCTTGTGCATTACTATATCCAACGTTGGGTATTGATAATTGGCTGACATATCCCAGCAAAGTCAGTTACAGCTTATGTATCTGGAATATTTTATTTTTTTTAAACTAATTTATTAATTAACTTTGTGAAGCATGACTTGTGTGAACATAACAAACCTGTATTTGTTTTACTTCTCCTTCCTGCATATTAATACACTATTCTTACTTTTTCTTTTGTAACATATTTGAAAATCTTTTGTCATTTCTTTTAGGTGACTGGATGGATTTTGATAGCACTTGTGGCTGTTACTGTTTTCCTAGTTTTATGTATTGCCAGATGTTGCTCACCACTAAGTTATCTACATCTCTGGTACTGGACAAACTACATTAATAACGAGCAGACCCTTTTTGAGCAAGCTACAGACCAGCACTCCAAGATCTATGCCATGGAAAATATCAAGAAATTCTTTGGCTTTGCACCCGGGAGTAAACACATCACCGATATCCGCATCCCTTCTCGTGATGACTGGAAAGCCATTTCAGGACTTGACCTTCTGCAAGTGATCAATGCTGATCACTGCAATTACAGCCTTCTTCATTCATGGACAGAAGAGGACAAAGAAGATGGAAAATATATTCACCTTGATGTGGCTCCAGACTCTGCAGATAATGTCACACCACCTTAAATGTACACTGTTGTCTTCTGTAGTTACTTAACAATGTGCAGGACTGAATTTATATCACATGCCCTTTTTTTTTCCTTAAAAAAATTTTTTTGTAACGTTACGATTAAATGTATTACATGAGAGCACTACTTTTGAAAATATATTTATAGTATATATTTAAAGTAATAGAAAAAAACGGTGTTTAATTTCTAAAAGACTAATCCCTCACCTATAGGGATTATTTTCTTCCAAACTGACTTATACCTCATGGATCTTATCTAAGTTATAATAGATTTCTTTAGGATTAATGTAAAAATGTTAGCCTCCTTCCATCATCTAGAACTGCACTTTCAGTACTATATATATATATTTTTTTTTTTCATGAATAAAAGCCAGTTGTATGCATGACTTTATGAAGTTTAAAAAAAACAAAAAACTTGAAAATCATCTAAGGCTTGTTAACCTCATTTCATAATTTGCTGCATTATGCTTTATAAATGAATGCACTGTTTTAAAAAATGTTTAAGTGAACACTAAAGTCACCAGAACTACTACATCCTAATGTAATGTCTAGTGGTGTTTACGGTCTGTTACTGCAGGCATTTTCATGCAAACACAGACTCTTACATTACTTTCTAGAAACACCTCTAGTGGAAGTCATTCAGACGGCCAATAGAGTTGCTTCCTTGGTCTGTGCTCGCGCGGTGTGATGTTTTGCCATGTATACACAATAGCCTCGCAATGCTTTCCTATTGGATTGGCTCAGATCATAAAATATGATGATCTTTGTCAAGGAGGTGGGGTGGGGTGGGGTGGGGCGGGGCGGAGGCAGCTGTGACTAAACCGGTTTGCCGCGGGAATAAAGGTAATTAAAATAATTCTTTAACAGGAGACGAGGGGGGCCGGGGACGTAAAATGTGTTTTTAGAACTATAGTGTCAGGAATACATGTTTAGTGTTCATTTTAAAGATTTCACAAACTACATCTCGTTCAGACTTTGGGAAAGCCAGAGGAAACACTGCAAATGAAAAGGAGAAACTAACAAATTGTTTACTTTATCCTCTTCCCCCTCTGTATGCTTTCTCTATGCTGCCATGTGCAAAGAACAGAGTTTACGAACATACATTTTTTTTTTTATTTTTTTTTTGTTAGTGCAGCTTAAGAAAAGTCACTTCAATCATTGTCCTGATTTACAGAATATCATATGTCAAGGGTTTTCTTTTATTTTTGCAGGTACCGATCACAAGAACTAAATGTAGAGTGATTTTTTTTTGCGTGTTTGTCTACTATCAAGGTTACATGGTAAACTGGGAATTCAACGTGAATTTTAAATTTAAAGGGACACTATAGTCACCAGAACAGCTACAGCTTATTGTAGTTGTTATGATGAGTAGAATCAGTTATTCAGCTATGCTTACAGTTCTGCTACTTTGGCCTTACATGTAAAATGTACTTCTGATTTTTTTTTTTTTTTTTTTTACTTCAATGAATAACCCTGTAAGTTTAATAGCATCAGAGAGAACAAAATTGCCACAAAAGTATACACAATTTTATAGGAAGTAGACAGCACTAGCTAATGGTATTTTGACACTTTTTACACTGACATTGTAATATTTTGGTAAACATATAGATCAGTGGTAGTCAACCTTTTTCTATCTACCGCCCACTAATGCATCTAATAGTTGAAAACATTTCCTTACCGCCCACCAGTTTTCGCTTTGCGCAAGTCCGGAATATTTTTTCAAAAGGAGGGTGTTTTTTTTTTTTATTTTTTTTTTTTAAATGTACGTACATTTATATTTTTATTTCTACTTAATGCATGTTTATAATGTTTTTAACTTTATAAAGTTTAATGAGAAAACAATAAAGCAAATTTAAATTACCTTTACTAGTGATTAATGAGATCCTTGAGGTTGATGCTGCAAGACTAAATATTTGATATCTGGTTCAATTTTTTTGTAAGGAACAAACAAAGGTCTCCTCTTTCGGTGATATTCAGACAGGGGCGGGCTGGGCCGGGAGCAGGGAGGCAATTGCCCCCCAGGCCGCCCCAAATCATTTTAAGACCGGCCGCTGCAGGGCCGGTCCTAATGCTGCAGCCGACTGAGTGCTCTGTAAAGAGCCTCAGGCGGCTGTAGCACATCTTCTCCCCTCCATCCCCTCCCCTGTAGCGTGGCCGAGCTCCTCTCCGGTCCGCGCAGAACAGGAGTTTCTGTTTCCTGTAACTGGCCGGACTGAAAGGAAGTGCACACTCAGTGTGCACCTTCCTATCACTCCGGCCGGGCACCGCGGACCGGAGAGCAGCTCGGCCACACTAAAGGGGAGGGAAGGTGGGGAATTAAGAAAAAGGGGGGGGGAAATTAAGAAGGAGGGGGCTTTAAGAAGAAGGGGGAGGAGGGGCGAG